CGTATGTCAACGTCTGGCTTGGTCCACTGATCCGCGCATAAAAAATATTGCAGGTGCTTGATTGAACAATTTATGCACAATCCATTTGCATGACAACACTTTTTAAAACGAACACGTCATTTTAATTATACGACACAAAATTGAATCGTTTTGCATAATTCCTGTAACATGCTTGTTTGCATGTCGCAGAGTTCGAAAGTTAATTAGACATCTTTTTTATATATTAAAAAGTCGGAATTTGTAAAGAAATAAAGCTTTTTATTTTTATTAGGGTTGCAGATTTGGAATACTTTTATTATTACGTTTGATGACATTATCATTCTTATATTGCTATCCTTGTCTTATCGACATGCTATCCTTCTGATATCTCATAAAAATTTTCAAAAATTTCCTATTATTTTTATTCAAGTCAAAATCAAATTGTTTACTATGTGTCACATTACAAACAGTGAGATAGAATAGAGCATTGTATTGCCACAGTAAAAAAGAAACATATTACTTTATTGTTATTTGTGTTAAGGACTCTCCGGTATATATATCATGGATGTATGGATGGATGTTTTAGGTACAAGGTCTCCTGCCGTAGTATTATTAATAATTTCCTAAAGTAAATGCTTCGTATTGTTTCTTTTTTCTTGTGTGTTAATACTTCAAGATATCGTTGTCTAAAGTCGTAAAGTTCAATCTATTGAATGTGATTTTCGTCACAACCTTACAAGAGATGATGTCTGCACAAAATGTTTGATTCACGAGATCGATTATAATCAGAGCGACATACGCTGCTAATATAACAAGAACACGCATCGTAATGAGCGCGTGACGAAATACAAAGTACCCCAGTGGATCAACTATCGTGTATTAATTGCAATAACCTTATCTGATAACAAATTGAAATTTCAAAATTATTGGAAACGTGTGCCTCTTATAAGGCCATTGTAAAACCAATGTGTATTTTTGTATAGGATAATGTAATTGAAACAATTGAAGCACGTTAGATGACTTATATCTGAAGTGCGGTGTAGAAAGTTGCACTACCGTAATGTTACATCATTACAATTTTTGTTTCAACTTGGATAGTTTAGCACATCACCAAAAGTTCCATCCATTTGTCTACTCTAATTTACTAAATTCTCAATTAATTTAATTCTTTTCTTTTTTGCTTGGTATTCGCAAATTAATACAATGCCTATGTCCTATACAGATCAGCACGCGTAGCATGACGAACGCGACAACGTTTTGTCTACACTCAAATGTCACTTTTCTCGGGTGCGCCCATACTATATCTCACTCTCGACCCGAGAAACTGACAAATGAGTGTAGACAAAGCGTTTCTCGAGTTTGTCATGCTACGCGTGTAGGGCTATGATAAATTGAAAGTTTTGGTGAAATCCCTAAAGTACATTATGAAATCATGGGAGATGTTTAAAAAAAAACAACTCCGTTTCTCAAATCAAGCTATGAAATCATAAATATCAAATTTTTTATCATCATTATGTTTACCTAGGTAAGGGCCCGAAACATCGAAAAAACCATTTGTAGATATTGAATAGTATATATTAGGAATTACATTATTATTACGATGTTTTAATGCTTTTTAATTTTATAATGGGAAACGTTTGGGAATAAAATATAAGAAAAACCTTTTGCGCAACTTATTTAACGATCACGTCGACTGCAAACGTTTTACAGATAAATAGTTAAATGTATTAGCAAATGGCAAATTACTTTGCGAAAGCAAATACGGCATAAATCTTGGTAACAGGTTGTTAAATGGACAAACTATTTAGAAATACAATTATTTGTTTTGTATTGAAAAGATTTTATCTTTGTAATTTCTGCAGAAAGTTAATATTTTATTTTCGTGCAAAGATATCAGATACCTTCCTTGGTATCAAGCCTTTCTCTAAACTATATGTGTTTTCAGAAAGAACCCTCTTATTATGCAATTTCAGTAGCTTGGTGGCGTAGTGGATAAGCGCCGCGGCCCGCGATCGTTGTCGTTAAGCAACTTTCGCAAGGGTCGGTCACGGGATGGGTGACCAAAAAATTATTATCTCGAGCTACTCCGTGCTTCGGAAGGCACGTTAAGCCGTTGGTCCCGGCTGAATTTGCAGTCGTTAATACCCTCCAATCCGCATTGGGATAGCGTGGAGAGTCATGGCCCATACTCCTTAACCATCCATAAGGAAGGCCTGAGCCCCTGCAGTGGGGACGTACAAGGGCTGATGATGATGATGATTAAAAAAATATGTTTTGGGGCTTCGCCATAGTCAATTAGTTTCGTCTATTTTCGAAACGTTTAAATGACTCCGTTTTTTGATAATTTATGATGCAACAGAGGTAAGACCTTTTTTTAAGTCTAGGGAATGCGATAAGCACTGTCCTTGTTACCTGACAGGCAACAGGATGTGTATGGGACACTCCTCCATGAATACACCCGGCAGTAAGCTACTCAGTGGGTACACTCCCCATTATCGGTCCGCACTATTACGGTAATTGGTCCCAATCGAGCATGGAAAGGTTCGGGTACACAGAGAGTTTTTCCCAGACAGGCGAGACCGTGTAATGCAGGTGGCTGCCAATTACCTTTGCTGGTCCCGACAGAGCAGAGAAATGTGTCATTACACGATTCTTTACCCTTCCTGTCCACTGCGCAGAAACCTGCCTGAACTTCAACTCGGGTATCTTCTCCCACTGTCACAGACTCCATCACCCCCGACACAAACGAAGGCACTCAGACGCACGATAGGAATTATAAGAATTATTCGAAAATTTCCGAATTTTCTTTCGTGGGCAAATAGATAAGTAGTATCTTCTTTTACTTCGCAACTTCCAAGAAGTATCCAAATACTTCGCATTTGTTTATCAGGTTGAAATGATCACACACGTAGTCCTGAAATAACATAATGAAGCTGATTTCCAGAAATTAATTATAGTAAGACAATCATAACTTTCTAAACGGGCACTATAAATAACACGTACTCTATTTGATTTTTGTTTAGCACCAATTCACTCGTACTGATGTTTACTGAATATTGCAGCATTATTGACGCTTCATTAGTTGCCATATATGTACATACACTGAACGTGTGACTCACGATTTTTTTTATTATTATTATTTATTGCTTTCTCCAAGTACTATTGAACATTTAACAAAATACATAAGTGTTATATACAAAATACAAAGTCTAAACGTGAAATTATTTATAAAAGTGTTAGGACAGAAATCAAATCACGAAATAATATTTAATAAATCTTATGTCCCTCTCTATCTCATTGACAAGTGGGTGCTTTTATTTCGTCTCGTTTCTCTTAGTTCTGTAATCTTCATATATTAACTTACTGTAACACGTCAAGCTCACCGATAGCGCTGCTATCATACATGTGGGGAGGCGATGTAGTTTCATTCGATGCGCGTGCGACCTGACCTTGTGCCATATCATTCGCAAGGCCCTTCATTGCAAAATACATATTCCTAATTGGTGGATTTTAGTATGAATAACATTTAACTGCAGTTCGATTGCGTAGTGAATAGTCCGCGGGCCGTTGATGTAAATCGATGACAATCTACCGAGGTTTCCGAATTTTTATCACTATAATAACCTTTGGCGAAGAAAGGTTTATTCCTTTAAAGAGCTTCTTAGAATTCAATATTGTTGACTAAAACTTCATAACACATAACGTATTCTGTATATTTCGTAACCAATTAGAGTTAAATGTTTTTACATTTCAGTTATTATACTGACTGATAAATATTATCGAACATTCCTTATTGAAAACCTCCGTGGACTCCTGATTTTTTTTTCAGTCGGATTCTTAGATCTAGGTATAGTAAGGTACCAAAACCTTCGTCGTATTTAAGTATTAAAACTTAAGAATTTTATTTTAAATTCGATTCAACATCGAATATTATAATATAATTAGGTCAACTTATATTGATACAATCTCTTGCCTGACCTACAAAAAATGCATTTATTGAGTTCCTTATTGTGTTGTGTACGATTATATGCAACATTTACAGAATTATATGCGTTCAACATTGAAATATTTTCGCCATTTACGACTCTATATGTGCTAGCCATGTCAATGTATGGACGTTTGCAAGAACCGATAATTTTTACGACACGCAAAGCAGGGAGTGCCTTCAGGCACCACCTTTTACGTTAAAGTAAGCGTATGACCACTCCTATGTCGCGTTATTACCTTTTTACTATAATATATAAGTAATTGAATTGGGAACAGTGAACGTTGCGTTGTTATATTTACTATCTTTTGTTTATGCTATCTTGGTAGTTTTATCTTTGAAATAAATTGATTAGATCATCTCGCAAATATTTATTTAAATATTTAGAATTGTCGCTTGTAATTTTTAAGAACCCAAGCAAATTCATATCACCGTCATTTTTGTAATGTCATCACTTAATGAAATTGAGATTCATATTGCAAATCTTTATATTTATTTAAGAAAACGTTTCGTTTTCGTAATATTTCATTAATGGGCGCGAGTGTTCTTCCAGTTTAAAGGTCTGGTAGCTCATTTGGAAGAGTAAACGCCCTTTATACTAAAGGTTGTCGTTTGGATTTTTTTAATATTTTTTAAATGTAATACTTTTTATTATGTTGCCTTCAGGCTATCCGGTGTCAAAATAACGTAAAGAATAATTTAAAATAATGACCAAACCAAATTGTGCGGTCGGTGTTTTTATGATAATATTTATTCGCTAATAAACAAGTGCCGGAGCTAAAAAATTATAATGAAACTATTATAACAATTTTGTTATGATGGTAACAAAAATAACTTGACATAATTTTTCATGCAACTTGGGAGAGGTATTATTCTTAAATCGGTTTTTAAATATGATCAGAAACGATTAAACTAGGCCATGTTCAATTTCCAGCCATTTCAATTCAAAAAGTTTTGCTAACTGATAATAACAATGGCCTGTTTTGACCTATGCTGTAACCAAATTTTAACGAAACACATTTCATTTTGTCCTCAGATGTGTCTTACGGAATGGATCAGACTTCGTGATTACAAAGGGCGGCCACGAGCCATCTTCGGTATAGACATCCCGCCTTGGGTATGGGAGGCGTATCGAGTCATCGGCGTTTTCCTATTCGGTTGTGCCTGTCAACAGCTGACGACAGATGTCGCTAAATACAGTATAGGAAGACTGAGGCCGCATTTTTTCTCTGTAAGTATACTACACAATATTGCAAAAACATATTAAAAATTATTTAATAATAATATAGATGCATAAATATTTTGACTTTGACCTTATTCCAAAATCCACGAAGGCCTAATAGGTAGTTTTTAAATTGTTGGTATCATGTTGAAGAAATAAGTAGGTAGAAAATATAGTTAATCACTAAGAATGCTGTCTGACAATTGTGATAAAGTATTTAATGTGGATTACCAGTCTTAAAATTTTTACAATTCGGACTTTTTTCTGATCACGCGACCTCTTTTCTTTTGATACCTTTTTTATCACATATTTTGATGTGTGCGTGTGTTTATAACCGATTATGTTTGAATGTCACGTTCTTATTCCTAGAATACGACGGTAATTTGCGTACTCATAGTCGCTGAGAATGGAGTTCTATTGTTTTAGTAAACATTTTCGCGTTCAGTCTGTTCTCGCGCTATATGTGTCATGGGTTCATCTAAATATATCCCGACTTCACTTGGCAGTTAGACCGTCTCACTTTCTTTGATTGTCTTTCATAATAAAAAGTAATTAACAAAGATAAATTCACTTATTAATTATATTTAACTGGTAGATGGTAATCTGGCGTCAAAGTTCGGATATTTAACCAATTACTTTTTTATCCATATTTATCATAGCATGTGAAAAACCATTTATTTTTCTCATCAAACAATTCACCTAATCAGACTGCCTTTTATTGTTGAGATAAGTATTTATGCTTCAAGCAATACTCGTATATTTTCTACTCTAATTTTATACCACTTTTCTTTCTCGATCATGATATAGTACATCCGTAGCATCTTACACTTCAGAATATTATATAACTGTTCATATTTTTTATGCTTTTTTTTGTATCAAGTTTCAATTCACTTATTATTGTGCCAAGTATGTCGTAATTCTTTTTTATTGAGAAAATTATGAAATGAAAGATTTTTTTAAGCTATACCATTGTCCTGTCATTTTTATCATGATCTTTGTAAGCTACTTTCTTTTTTATATTTAATGAAAATAATAGAAACTCACCAGCCTAGTGAACACGCTGACCATTGTTTGACTTATCAAAATAATCTTTGACCGTTGCCAGAAAGTCTTTCTAAACTTCCACAAAAGTGTTATTACGAAGTACTAAAAACTGCCAGTATTTTTTATAGATGCCCTGTTAACATTCACATATCTAATGCCTAAAGTTTTACTGGAGATAAAAAGTGGATTTATTCAAAACGTAAAAGGTTTTTAATAGTTCCTCATTTTTGTAAAAGAATGGAATCTTACCTTAGCACACCATAATGTGCTGAATATTATTATTTTCGTGTCCTAAATAATATTATTTAATATTATCATTGTACACGTGGTGGTTAATATTCTATATAATTCCTTAAACCTCCTGGATATATGACACACAAATAATTTCTCGTCTAGGCTTCATTCGATTCGAGATAGTTTCATAACTTAATGCAAATCTCATGAAAGTCATAATAATTTTCGCTACAACTGCATTATTCTCTTGACCTAGCCAATTATCTAATTGATTCCACTTTAGTTGTTCTATTATTATGAAGACCAGTCACTCTTTAACGTTGTTACAATTGATTCATTAAACTCATGAAAAAAAACTTTTGTGTTATTTATAAACTTCTGTAAGTTATTTTTAACATTGTGATGCTTGTTAGTAGATCATACTGAAATAAAAGTATTAGTTTCCTACAGTAGTTGCGCAGTTGAAAACAATTTTATTGACGAAAACGCGGATTACATGTTAAAAGGGTCAGTGCCAATGTTTACTTTACACAGTTGGTGAAACGTACCGTTAACAAATAGATACAGTTAACGTCTAGCTGAATAGAATGACTTTCAGATATTCACAGAGCTCACAAATCCAATTGGAGTAATAGACTATCAATCACCGTGACGGACAACTTACATTGGAAGCCAACGCATCATGGACTACCGATTCCGTGTTATGCGTGAACAACTTCGCGAATAAGGAGTCTATATTTGTCGTTTTTGTTGTCTGGGTGGTATTAAATTGAGTCTAAATGGAAACTTACGGTAGTTTATCTGTAAATGTGACCAAATTGCGTCTCTATAGTAAATGCGGCTTCTAATAGGTTATCTTTTATGCGTATTTCTCAAGTATACATAAATAAAATACAAAACAGAGAAAAAGCAGCTCTTGATGGTTCTTTATCATACATGGTCTCCCGCCGTAGATCTGTGAACCGATGACATAGCTTTCAAAAGTGCTTGTAACAGTCCAACTTAGACAAGCTTAGTTCATCTTATCTTTTAAGGAACTTGTTTTAAAAATTACATATCCTATATTTGTTATTTTTATAATCATATTGCGTCACGTTAGCAAATTAATTGACTATAAATTGCATGACTATTGTGTAATTGCATATTATATCACCATCATTAATATGCTCTTAATTATCTTCTATTATGTGTGTATAAGATTCAGTTTTATATAAACTGTTGCTGAATTTCTCTTTCATATTTTCACCGAGTGTACTAATTACTTTTCTCTTAGTTTATTCGTTTATTCTTTGTCGGGCTTAAACTGTATTAAAATTCGAGTAAATAATATCGCATTTATAATCTTTACCATGACTTTTCGTTTAAGTAGATGCAGTGGTTATAAATAATGCAGGGGACACGGTCTACCGCCCCGCGGCGGGCGACTTGTAATTTTGACTTATTGGATCAACTGCCACGGTGCCGTCGACATATGGTTCTCGTTGTTGCCTTTTTATTTTTATACTAACTGTTTCCTCTCTGACCGTTAGTTTGTTTCTGACATGAGCAAAAATAAAATTTTGCGTAACTATTTTTACGGGTGATTTTCAAAATGAGCGGCGTTAGTCTCCTAGTTATCTTGGGAAACCAGCTTAATATATCTATGAAAAAGTCGCGTTGGGCATTAAAAAAAATCTTAATAATCTTAAATTCTAAAGATTGGATTTCTTTCATATAATATCTTTTCAAAATGTTTTTAATTTGCACAGGATTTTGTATCTTTAATTTTATCAAAGTTTATCTAATTAGTTTAATTACTTTCATTTTAGGCAAATTCTCGACCAATATTCATCATGTTTTATTATAAAACATTAAATTCAGTAAGGTATCACTGCAAATCAATAAATTTTCTCTTTATTATAGTTATTCTGTCTTTATGATTATGATTATCAATATTGTTAGCATCGAGGATTGTCGGGAGGGGTGTGTGATGTGAGTTTTGCACGGTTGATCAGTGACGCGTGACAGCACGCCGTCGTCGCAAAAAGCTTTGCCTCTTTTAGTCCATATTTTCCCTCTTGGCCTTTACATAGACGATGACAAATGACACGATCGATACAGCATTTAATTCTTTGTATACTCTATGGCATGAGTTAGTTTCGCTCTTTTGTGTTTTAATGACAATGGTCCTAGGTATTTCTCAATAATTTTATACTGCCTTGAGCAAAAGATGAAATGAATTTCATGAAACTAAACTAAACATACAAGAATTTCTCAAACGAATACACTTACTTTTTAAAAACTATTGTTGTTTTTACGGAATATTCTAACACCCTCGAGATGGTAAGTTGTCCACATTTCCAAGGGTTTTTTGTCCATACGTATCTACTATTTGTTATTTTTAAGAAATGCAGTATCATCGTAATTCTCATTCTCCAAGCCAAACACAGGTGATTTGCAAAAATATTATAAATTATCTGCCTTTAAATATCGCTTCTCATATCTTTGTATCGTTTATACTGTAAGTTTAGTATTGTGATCTGTGGTCTCCTTTATTTTGATAGATGTGTGTTTTAAAACCGAGAAAAAGGAAAGATAATATATGTTTTAGTTACTTGCACAATATAGATACTTTTTGTGATTTTGTCTTTAGTATTTTGAGTTTCTCGCTTTATTAATATATTTGGTTTTATCTTTATTCGGTTAAATGATATGATGTTCATTTGTAATAAATGGTCTGTAGATTGAATAATCCGGTAACCAGTGTGCGATCGTGCCCTTTCAAATTTTATCGTGAAGTTATTTAAAGCAGACTGCTTTACAAATTGCTAATACTCGACTGATTTATGAAATACTTTAAAAGATTTATGATCATATATCCAAATGTTTTTGTTGCTTTGTCCTGGTGTTTATTTCAATTTGAAAACAAAAGTTTAGGTGAATGAATGATTTATTATCGTTCATTATACACAAGTATGTTTATGTTTACATTTTGTTTAAATCGTATTTTTCCCTTTGTTATCCTGTTTCTAAATAATTTGTTCACAACAATTTGCTGTTATTATACGTTTATCGTACTGCCCTTGAACTCTATATCGGTTCCCACGTGTTATCATTTTAATTGGATCAAAATATATATCGTGTTATGATAATTGTATTACATCAGTGATGCTGATAATTTCATGCTATATCTTACCAAGTGTAGTGATATTATTAAACTGGTCTTATATTCTTTATAACGACATTTGAATAGCTTAATAACCGTTAATTGTTACTAATACAGTTATATCCAACTTCAAAGTGTATAGTTTGAATATTCCATGTTCTTAGTTTCCGTAGCTAATAATGTCTTGACGTCTAGCATCATAACATGTGTTAGCTCGTGTGTCGAGCCATCATTCATCGAGTGAATCAATTATTGCAAATCACATTCAAACCTGTCCGATATACTAATGTTAATACACCTCGGGCTCGAGTCTGATTACGATTTCAAATTGGTTATATTAGTGTCGACAAGCAATTTAATTTCCTGGATTCTGTTATTGAATGGAAACGTTATTTTGCTTGATACATAAATCATGTTGTAATAAGGAAAGCATCGTCTAAAAAGGCCGCCTATTTTAGAAGAAATTCCGAGTGTTAAAAACAATCTACAATATTTCTCAGTTTCAGTCAATAAGTCAACTACAACCACCTGTTTTGATATTCTTAGTTAACTAGATATTTATTATTATCTGATTTCTTATTAATTA